GAACATGACGTGTTCTGTCCTCTGCTCCTTTTTTATTGCTAATCTAATTAATGTTAATGTTTTATTAATAAAGAGCTATTAGATGAACATAAAGCTTCACAGATCCTGCACAGACAAATTTACAGTCTACAAAGTGTAAAGACCTACATAATAATTAATGCAAATATTATACAATGCAAATATTATACAATTTTCATCACTGTTGTAGTGATGAAAAAACAGCAACAGAGCAGGTACTATGTATTGTTATTGCTATCAGGGGTAGCATAGGTTGCTGAGCCTTAATCTATCTTAAGAACTGTATGTACGCTTACTCATGCTGTGTAAATATATATATATATATACATATATATAAACAAAACCCAATTGGACCTTGTACTCTAGCTCTATTAAAAATACATTGCCGGGTGCTAGATAAAGAGCCTTTAAATATCCATATTATTATTATTATTATTGCCATTTAAATAGCGCCTACAGATTCCGTAGCACTTTACAATATTATGAGAGGGGGGATGTAACTATAAATAGGACAATTACAAGAAAACTTACAGGAATTATAGGTTGAAGAGGACCCTGCTCAAACGAGCTTACAGTCTATAGGAGGTGGGGTATAAGACACATTAGGACAGGAAATATTAATCAAATAGGGTGGGAGTGAAGCAGAGCTGAAGGAGAAAGTAAAGCACTGCCCTATAGGAGAGAGCAAGAGACAGGTATGTAAGGTAGAGGTTACTCTGGGAGGCCATACGCTTTCCTGAAGATATAGGTTTTAAGGCCCTTCTTAAATGATTGAAGAATAGGGGAGAGTCTGATGGTGGTAGGCAGGCTATTCCATAGGAAAGGAGCCACCTGCGAGAAGTCCTGCAAGCACATATGCAGAAAATATCTGCACTTATATACTTTTCAATATATATCTCACTTTATTCATTCATAATAAGGTTAGTGTCGACATTTCAGTTCCCGATCTGAATTTTCCTCAGGACAAATAAAAAAACAAAACAAAACAAAAAACAAAAGAGGAAAATTCCCAACTGAAACTGAAACGTTGACATTGACACTGCTGTTTTACTTTTATAATGAAGGAACAAAGGGAAAATCCATTGAAAAGTCAGTGAGTGCAGATATACTCTGGATATCTAAATACCGTATATACTCAAGTATAAGTCGAGACCCCTACTTTTACCTCAAAAAACTGGGAAGTGGGAAATGCAGTAGCTACTGGTAAATTTCTAAATAAAATTATATCCCCCAAAAATTATATTAATTGAATATTTATTTACAGTGTGTGTATAGAATGAATGTAGAGTGTGTGTGTGTGTGTATGAATGCAATGTGTGTGTGTATGAGTGCAGTGTGTGTGTGTGTATGAATGCAGTGTGTGTGTATGAATGCAGTATGTGTGTGTGTATGAGTGCAGTGTGTGTGTGTATGAATGCAGTGTGTGTGTATGAATGCAGTGTGTGTGTGCATTAATGCAGTGTGTGTATGAGTGCAGTGTGTGTGTGTATGAATGCAGTGTGTGTATGAATGCAGTGTGTGTGTGTGATGCAGAGTGTGTTTGTGTATGTGATGCAGAGTCTTGGTGGGGGGTGGGCATTTTTTTTTATTATTATTATTATTTTAATATTTTATTTTTTTGTTATATTATTAATATTTTATTTTTATTTTATTATTATTTTTTTTGTCCCCCCTCTCTGCTTGTTAACTGGCCAGAGAGGGGGGCTCTCATTCCCTGGTGGTCCAGTGGATGGTCTGTGTAGGTGGGGGGCTGGCAGTGAGCTGTAACTTACCTTTCCTGCTGCTCCAGTCAGCTCCTTTCTCTCTCCTCCGGTCCGGTTAGCTCCCCTGTCAGCTCCCCTGCAAGTCTCGCGGTCTGAGTGCCGCGCTGAGAGTTGCGGCTCTCGCGAGACCTACAGCAAGGAGCTGACAGGAGCTTCAGGAAAAGTAAGTTCCAGCTCGCTGCGAGCCACCAACAGGACCGCCGGGCTTGTAATGAGCCCGGCGGTCCTCGTCTGTATTATGACAATGTAAGTTGCCATAATACAGACCTTGACTTGAGTATAAGTCGAGTGGGGGTTTTTCAGCACAAAAAATGTGCTGAAAAACTCGACTTATACTCGAGTATATACGGTACACTGTTTAGCCACAACCTAAAACCACCTACCTAACATTGTGTAAGTCCCAAAACAGCCCTGATGCATCGAGGCATGGACTGGACAAAACCTCTGAAAGTGTCCTGTGGTATCTGGCACAAAGACATTAGTAGCAGATCTTTTAAGCCCTGCAAGTTGCGAGGTGGGACCTTCATGGATTTGTTGTTCCCTCACATCCCACAGATGCTCAATTGAATTGAGATCTGGAGAATTTGGATGCCAAGACAACACCTTAAATTCTTTGTCATGTTCCTCAAACCATTCCTGAATAATTTTTGAAATGTGAAAGGGTTGACTGCTATCAGGTGTACATAGTCTGCAACAATCTCTAGGTAGGTAATGCTTGCCAAAGTAAAATGCATATTAATGCCATGACCCAAGTTTACCTAGCAGAATATTGCCCGGGGCATAACACTGCTTCTGCCTGCCTTCTTCCCATAGTGTACCCTGCTGTCAGGGTAGCACACACATCTGGCCATCCACCTGACCTAAAAGAAAACATGATTCATCAGACAAGGCAACCTTCTTCCATTGTTCCAAGGTCCAGATCTGACAGTCACGTCCCCATTGAAGGTGGGGGTCATCATGGGCACTTTGACTGGTCTGTGTCCACGCAGCCCCATACACAGCAAACTGTGATGCCCTGTGTAGTCTGACACCTTTCTATCATGGTTAGCATTAGGTTTTTTCAGCAATTTGAGCTACAGTAGCTTTTCTGTGTGATTGGACCAGACAGGCAAGCATTTGGTCACCACATGTATCAATGATCCATGGACACTGGTTTACTAGTTGTCCTTCCATGCACCACTACTTCATACCAGAAACACCCCACAAGACTTGCCATTTTAGAGACGCTCTAATCCAGTCGTCCAGCCATCACTATTTTGCTTGCCCATTTTTCCTGCTTCTGTCACATGGAATTCAAGAACTAACTGCTCACTTGCTGCCTATGTCCCACCCCTTGACAGGTGTCATTGTAACTATATAATTAATTTTATTAAATTCTCCTGGTTTTATATACTGTTTATCTATGATATAGCTCACCTCTTTACTAACACATGGGCAAAGCTCAGTTCAGTGTGAATCTTTGGTGGTTAAAAAAATAATTCAAAGTGAATTTTAAAGTTTGGGCAGCTATAGATAAACAGGAAAAATATATCTATTCTCAGTTAGGCTATTTTGACCTGGAAGTCACACTTTAGTAAATAAACCTAGTTGCCTGTCTGTCTTAGTTGCAAATAATCATAGGGCCTGTCTCCCTGTTTGGATCACAAATTGTTTGACCATAGGAAAGCTGAGATATTTACTGATGGTTTTCTAGAGGTAAATGCATGCTTTTCTTTAATCATTTAGGTAGGCTATTTGCATTTAGAACACATAGTTTTCAGAAGTATATACAGATATACAAAAAATAATTGCAAGAGACATGTAAAGCTAAATTTTCATGAATGTTATTTTTCTCTGTTGCATCTGTTGTATAAATTATTCATGGAAATTAATTTTTTTCCTGGCTTTTGATATTGTGTAATGCACTATATAGATTTTGTTGCTTAAACTAGTGTGTAATTAGGATATTATTCAGTATGTGTAGAGACATTTAAGGGTATCACGTTCCTAGTAGTTAGTCTAGACAAATAGTGAAAAATGTTTTACTTGTTTTTACATAAAACTTAAACATGTTCATCAAGTGTCTTATATTTCACATAGATCGACAGAATTTACTTCAGGTTAAACTTGTTGTATAAGACTTAAGCAATGTAATGTTTAATAGTTTGACTTTTTTTTGGGGGGGGGAGGGCACATCACAAACAACTGTAGACACAGCATTTTCAATCTCCCCAACCCAATCCCCAAACGCAAAAGAAAAATAAACTCAACAAAAAAACTTGTTTACGTGAAAAAGAAATGTATTGACACAAACATATAGAATGAGAGTGTTTGTGTGAGTGGTTATCTATAACTGTGTGTGTCAGTGTGTGTATGTGTCTGTGTGAGTGCCTATGTCTGTGTGTATGTATATGTATGCATATGTATGTATGTCTGTTTGTGTGTTTAGCAGCGTGTGTCAGTGTGGGTAGCAGTATGTATGTGTGTACGGTGTAGGTATGGGTAGCAGTATAACTGCATTTGTGTGTATCTGCCATCCTTTATACATGAGTTATTCTGGCACAAGTCCAGAGGGCCCTCTCTGGTCTTTGCTGTCTAGGAAGACAGAAAACACCATGAGCAGCCGGGGGCGGTTTTTGACAGTCATGGTTGGCACCTCTTGCACTCCAAAAGCATACACCAGTAGACAGCTGCCTAATGGGAAATGTAGCATTTTGTGCTGTTTAGTTTTGAATTGATATCTCAAACTCTGCAGCAGTCACAGCTTGGTTATTTTATATTTCCTATACAACAATTTGAAGTGTACTTAAACTATCCCAGAGTGTCAGTGCTATGTTTTAAAAGAAGCGCTCATAGACCTCATCGCCAATGCTTCAATATGGACACATCAATATTGAGAAATAAACACTTTTAAAAGAGAATGGAGCTTCTCGTACAGAAAGGTTATATGGGATTTTCAATGTTTTGTTTAGTGATGTAAATTCCATGTCAGTTCCTCTTTTAGACAAATGCAGAAATGCATTACAAGTATACAGTTTAGTCAATCAATATGTGTTAGAGGTATATCGTCATTTTGGGTCATGACTGTATGTCCCACAATATATCCTGTTACACTTACTACCTGACTGTTCTATTTGCTGTTTCAACTTTTTGGATATAGTGGAAAATGTATTCATACTTACCGTAATTTTCTTTTCCTGGCTATTATTCATGGCAGCATATACACATGGGTTAGCATCTCCCCTTACAGCCAATAGGACAGGTTTAAACAAATTCTTATAAAAGGAGGATCCAGAGAAGAGACCCTCAGTCAGTAACAAGCACTTACAGAAGAATTAGATCCATAAGGGCGGGTTGTATATGCTGCCATGAATAATAGCCAGGAAAAGAAAATTATGGTAAGTATGAATAAATTTTCCACTTTCCTGGCTAATCATGGCAGCATATACACATGGGATTACCCAAGCTCATAGGGAGGGAAACAAGAGACATAATTAATGCAAAAATTATTTTATTAATGCAGATAAATCTACATATACATATTACGAGTGTCGAGAGGAGCGGACTGAATTAAGGACTTGGTGACCAAAATGAGAGTCCACTGTAGCTCTAACATCCAGCTTATAATGGCGGATGAAAGTGTTCACTGAAGACCAAGTGCCAGCCTTACAAATCTCATCAGGAGAAGCATTTGCCACAGAAGCCCAAGATGCAGCGATAGCCCGAGTAGAGTGAGCTCTAACTCCAGTAGGAACCGGCAGTGATAAGTATTTGTAAGAACATGAGATGGCCGAAACCACCCATTGTCACGATTCGGGGAACCTAACACGCTGACACACACACACACAGAAAAGGTGCCGTACCGGACCTTAGAGTGGCCGGGCTAAGCACGCTAAGAATAGTCAGGAGACAAGCCAGGTAAAGGGAGCCAGAAAACGGGAGAACGAGAAACAAGCCGAGGTCAAAGGAGTGGAGAAGACAGGATAAACGGAATAACGAGCCAAATAATCAGTAACCAGAGAGCAAGACGAGAACACCACGCTACAGGTATCACAAGACCACAACAGGGCACTGAGGGACAGGAAAGGTAAGTATAAATACCCTAGGTTTAATTCTGATTGGATAACTTCCAATCAGAATTAACAATCACACGTGGGGGATATCTATACCCCCCACTGTGATTGTGGTACTGTTTCTTTAATGCCGGGTCACTCACGTGACCCCAGCGTTTACTTAACTCCTGGACCTCCCAGCGTGCAGCGTTATACATGCTGCCGCTGGGGGGCGTGGAGGACGCTGGCAGCGAGCGGCACAGAGGAGACGCCGCTCGCCGACATGGAAGCAGAGAGGAGACCGCGGGCGGCGATGGAGTGAGGGTGAGTGCTGCAAGTGGCGTGCAGCCTCCCCTCCTCGCCGCCCGCGGCTCCCTGACACCCATTGTCTCAATGTAGAGGTAGAGGCCGCTTCACCCCGCCTTTGGCCAAAAGGCAATACAAATAGTCTGGGTGATCTGAGGAAGGGGCTGGTCTTCTCCAGGTAGATAGATAATGCTCGCACCACATCCAGAGTGTGCCAAACGTCTTCTTCAGGAGAAGAGGGATTTGGATAAAAGGATGGTAGAACAATTTCCTGGTTCAAGTGGAACTTAGATATTACTTTAGGTAAAAATTCCGGGACTGGTCTGAGGACTAAACGGTCCTGAAGTATCCTCATATAAGGTGCTTCGCAGGATAATGCCTGGAGCTCACATATCCGTCGTGCGGAAGTAACTGCCACCAATAGGAGTACCTTTTGAGTGAGTACCAGCAAAGGAGCTTGGTCAAGTGGTTCAAAGGGAGACCTAGTCATGGCCTTTAAGACCAGAGGTAGGTCCCATGCCGGCAGAAATACCTTCAGAGGAGGCCGGTTCTTTATTGCCGCTTTAAGAAAACGGATGACCAATGGTTCCAGTGCCCATCGGGTACCTGACAAAGCGGATAGAGCTGATACCTGGAGTTTCAGAGTGTTGTAGCTAAAGCCTTTGTCCAGGCCAGCCTGAAGGAAACAGAGCACTGAAGATAATGCCAGAGGTTTAATCACCACCTGGTGTTCTTGTGCCCAGCAAACAAAGGTATGCCAAATCCTATAATATGTGGAGGAAGTGGATATCTTACGAGACCTCAGGAGAGTTCTAATGACTGTGTCAGGCATGCCAGCGTTCATCAGAGCTTCACGCTCAATCTCCAAGCCCTCAACTTGATGGTTAGCGGGTTTGGGTGTAGCAGTAGTCCCTGTGATAGTAAATCTGCCTGGAACGGGAGTACCCTCGGAGGTTCCCGACTCATCCGTCTCGACATAGGGAACCAGGGTCGCTGGGGCCAGAACGGAAGGATGGCGATGATCTCTACCTTCTCCTTCTGATTCTTCTTCAGAGTTGGGAATATGAGAGGTATAGGAGAGAACACATAGGCCAGAGTGAACTTCCAAGGTTGGGATAGAGCATCCTGTCCCCTGGCTCTGTGATCGACCAGTCTCGAGAAGAAGGCTTCGACCTGGGTATTCTCGGCCGTTGCCATGAGGTCTATCTCTGGGGTTCCCCAAATCAAAGACAGCTCCTGAAATACTTTGGGGCTTAGATGCCACTCGCTCCTGTCTATGGTCACGCGGCTCAGGTAGTCCGCCATGGTATTCTGAATTCCCGGAAGGTATACTGCAGAGATACCCTGGAGATTTTTCTGGCACCAACTCATGATGGGCCGCAGTTCCTTCATCAACAGTTGGCTGCGAGTACCGCCTTGATGAGAAACATAGGCCACAGCCGCCTGGTTGTCGGACTGGACTCGTATCCATCTGTTCTTCAGGATCCTCCTGAAATGTATGAGAGCTCTGTGGATGGCCCGTAATTCCAAAACATTCCCCGGAAGAACCAACTCCTGTTTGTTCCATCGACCTTGATTCATCCGGTCCTGACAGTGGGCACCCCAACCATGAGCACTGGAATCTGTTGTTAATAGGACCCACTCGGGTTCTATCAAAGGTAAACCTCTTTCCAAATTCACCCTTCTTAGCCACCAGACCAGGTCCATTTTGACTACATGAGAGATCCTCAAGGGTTGATTCCAATCCATAACCCGCTGGTTGAACTGGTTCAGGAACGACCTCTGAGGAACTCTGAGATGCCACTGGGCCCACCTGACTAGTCCTATAGAAGAGGTCAGATTGCCCAGCAGTTGCGAGTATGTTCTTGCTGTTATCACATGAAGGTGCAAAATCTTGTAGATGAAGCTTAAAATCCTCTGTATCCTTTCCTGTGAAAGGGAGATAGAGTTCCGGAGTGTGTCGAAGTTCGCCCCCAGAAACGTAATCTTCTGGGATGGAATGAGGCTGCTTTTTTGTAGATTCACTAACCAGCCGAATCGATGAAGTTCTGATAGCACAAATTCTCTCTGAAGCACCGCCGTCTGGACGTTTAGTGCTACCAGCAGAAGGTCGTCCAGGTAATGGAACAAAGAGATTCCCTGAATCCTCAGCCTTTCTATAAGAAGACCAATACCTTTGAAAAGGTTCTGGGTGCTGTGCTCAGACCAAATGGAAGTGCTCTGAATTGGAAGTGGTCTTCTCCTATGGCTATCGGGATGTGATAATAGGCATCCCGTAGGTCAATGGATATGAGCCAATCTGCCTTCCGGATAGCTGGGGAGATGGATCTTATAGACTCCATCTTGAAGGATCTGATTAGAAGTCTCCTGTTGATCCTCCGCAGGTCCAGGATAGGTCTCCACTTGTCCTTGTCTTTCTGGACTAAGAACAAAGGTGAATAGTGCCCCTGGAATCGTTCCTCTTCTGGCACTGAAACGATAACTCTTTGGGACCTGAGGTTCTGAACATAATCTCCCAGAGCCCTGCTTCCGCCCTTGTCCGTGGGCAGACCTGTGGGAATGAAGAAGTTGCTTCTGGGTCTTCTGAGGAATTCCAATCTGTACCCACTTTGAATTATAGCTTTGACCCAGGCATCTTGTATATCCTGTGCCCAAACCTTCCAGAAGAGGGAAAGTCGAGCACCGACCTCTGACAGATAGTCAGAAGTTCTTGCCTCCACGAAAGGAAGGGTTTCTACCTCGGGAAGAACGTGAAGCATATGATTGGCCCCCACGCCAATTATTACTCCTGCTGAACTCTCTACCTAGACGGTAGCTACGAGCATCCCGAAAATATTGATCCCTCGGAGGTCGCTTATCTGACCAAGAGGAGCCTGGTCTTCTGGTTCTTTTCTCCTGGGGTAGAAAGACCTTACGCCCCTCAGCAGATTTTTTAATGGATTCCTCTAGGGTCTTTCCAAATAGAAGCTCACCCTCAGATGGTATGGAACATAAATTGGCCTTGGAAAAGGAATCCGCACCCCAATAACGCAACCATAAAGCTCTCCTAGCTGCTACCAAGAGGGCCATGGTGCGGGAGAAGATCTTGGTTATATCCAGGGCAGCTTGAGCGACAAATTCCGTAGCTATCCGAAGGTCGTAAATAGAATCCCTGAGGTTTGTTCTCTTAATTCCTCTTTTTATATCTATATCCAGGTCTTTTATCCAACTTTTCATGGCTCTGGACACCGCCGTAAGACAAACAGCTGGATGGCATCCAGTACCTCCCGCTGGATATATCTTGGAAATATCAGAATCCAATTTCTTATCCATTGGCTCCCGCAAGGAGGCTGCACTATCCAGTGGTAGACTAGTTCTCCTAGCAACCCTAGAGATGGTAGCATCAACTTTTGGAGGTGTCGTCCATTTTTTTGAAGTTTTCTCCTCCAAAGGATAAAGCCTGGATAGCCTGCCCTGAAATGGAACCTTTTTATCAGGTTTTTCCCATTCTGCGGTAACCACCTCCTTAATGGCTCTGTGAAGAGGGAAGGAAGGCTTCTGCTTCCTAAGATCCGCAAAATGTTTATCAGAAACTTCAGGTTTAGGAAGATCTTCTGGTAAGTCTAGGGTCTTTCTTACCTTCGGGATGAGTTTATCCACCGTCTTGGCGTCTAGATATTCCGACAAGACCTCTTCTTCGTTCTCACTAGAATAAATCTGATCGAGAACCTGAAACTCTTCAGCTGAACCCTGGTATTCTGAGACAAATGATTCTGAGGATACCAGTCTCTGTCTTGGTCTTTTCACGGACCGATTACTTGCCTCCATGGCCTCTGAGATGCCCTGAGCCACCTCCTGTCGGATCCAAGTCAGGATATCTGGTGACTGAGTGGGTGTTACGGCTGCTGGAGTGGCCACCTTCTGCAAACAGTTTAAGCACAGCTGTTTGCCTTCCAATGCCTTCCCATCACATCCTGCACAGGGGTCTGACTTCTGTCTCCTCCTTCGTGGGGGAGATGATATAGACTGTTCTCCATTACTAAAAGTAGTATAAGTAACTGTTAGTAGATGGAGAGTAAAAACATCATTAACGTTATATATAAAATATATATGGATTCCTACTCACCTGGATTCTGCTGAACAGGGTAAAGGGTTCCTACTAGTAGAGCTCATAATGTGCTAACTACAATAAAGAATTTCAAATAATTCTCTTAGAATACACAAAACTCAAATATTGTCCAACCGACTTAAAGAGGTAATTGGAGAACTGATCGACGTGGATCAGTTCGGATTTGTGCGAGGGAGAGGAACTACAGATAATACACGTAGGATATTCAACTTCATACATAAAATAAATGAGCATAAATGGGGATCTGTCATTATGGCCCTCGATGCTGAGAAGGCCTTTGACAGAGTCAATTGGAGATTCCTGGACTCTGTCATGGGCCAATTTGGCTTAGAGGGTCAATTCAGACATAAAACTATGTTGTTATATAGGAGTTCTACAGCTAAAATAATTAATCCTCTTGTTGAGTCTGACCACTTTGAGGTCAAGAATGGCACTAAACAGAGTTGCCCTTTGGCTCCCCTGTTATACATTCTTACAATTGAACCTTTGGCCACCCTGATCAGACAGGATACTAATGTAAAGGGGGTCAAGTCTCTTAATGGGGAAATCAAGGTCTCCCTTTTCGCAGACGACGTCCTCCTTATTCTGACGGATCCGATGGTTTCAATTCCATCGGTATTGGATGCTATATCTACCTACAGTAGTTTCTCCAACTATAAGGTCAACATGAAAAAAAAAACAAATTTTAGCCTCTTTTTTATCTGAGGCTCAGAAAGATCGTCTGACTGCACATTTTCAATTCTTATGGGCAAAAGATACTATAGGTTATTTGGGGATTAAAATATCCTTTGATATAGAGAGGACGATACAAACAAACTATGATATATTATTAAGAGATTTGCAACAACTGGTAGATAAATGGAGGAAGATTGAGTCCTCATGGATAGGAAGATTAAATATGATCAAGGCATTTTTGATACCTAAACTTATATATTATCTTAGGGCGATTCCTTATAGACTGGGGAAAGGTATTCTTAACCGTTTCCAAACCCTGATTTCCAAATGCATCTGGGCAAATAAACCACCTAGGATAGCTTTTGACACACTTCGAAGGAGTTATCAGAAGGGTGGAATAGCATTTCCAGATGTTGATAAAATTCATGAAGCATGTATGGCGACTCATCTTCTACAGTGACTAGATAAGGAACAGGGATATAAATCATGGCTTACCCTAGAACAGGAGGATAGCCCTAGACATAAATTGTTTATTCTCCTTTGGATGGGTATGTTAAATTTGGGTGATCTGGATACCAAGTATTTTTCGAACCGTATAGTGATAGATATGATCAATACCTCTAAAATCCTAAGTAAAAAATTGAAGCTAGACGGTAAATTATTATATAGGGTTCCACTAGTGGTCCTACAACACACAATGGATAATATAAATGTCCAATTTTGGACAAACTTAGGCTTAGTGAAGATCTCGGATTTATGGGACGGATCTAAACCCACCCCATTTATACAATTGCAAGAAAAGTATAATCTTCCTCCTAGAGACCTTTTTCAATATCTAAGGATAAAGAATTTTTTACTATCTCGGACTATACTTAAGGATCACAACATTAATTCCCTTATGGTATTATACAAAAAGAAGGGAGGGATTTCTAGATTTATTAAATCGCTAGAATCAATGGACCAAGATTCTCATGCTAGAAAAAAGGAAGAAAAAAACCCAAAAAGGGATGTCTTATATAAAGACCGCCCAGAGGGTAAATACCCAGTCCAATCTCAACAGTAGTGTAGTTGCCAAAAAATAAAAAAGCCTTTATTGAAATCTATTAAAAAACCTGGGTAATCAGTGATGGACAGAATAATATAGAGAGAAATATGTATGAAGATTACATACTTTCACATACTAGAAAAACATAAATGAAAAGGTGCTCAGAGCAAAGTGCTCAAGAGAGTATTTAAAAACACAGAAGAACCCGACGTACGTTTCGGCGTGACCACACGCCGTCCTCAGGGGTATCAGCAATGAGCAAAAAGACTGTCCGGGTGGTAAATTTATACCTTAAGCTCATAAGCTTTATTGTAATCACCTGTGATTGTGTCTAAATTGCTCCGGTCCTCCTGTGAATGGGGCTGTGGGGGTGTGGTGTAACACACCATAGTGTCAGCCCACATTTCTATGTCAGAGGTAGCCAGAACAGAAATCAGGTGAAAGGGAATTAACCACTTAAAGGGTGGTTAAAGGGCTTTTTTATACCCCTGAGGACGGCGTGTGGTCACGCCGAAACGTACGTCGGGTTCTTCTGTGTTTTTAAATACTCTCTTGAGCACTTTGCTCTGAGCACCTTTTCATTTATGTTTTTCTAGTATGTGTGTGTAACCTGGGGCTTCAGATGTTATGACAGCATTTAGATTAGAACACCCACAAAGGTGTTTTATAGGAGATAGGGTATTAGCATAGCACTACTGTTTGGTTGGGAGTGTGTGTTTCTCCCTTTCCCTGTTCTTTCCTACTGCTTTGTTACCTGAGTTATGTATGGGGGTACATATTGCCTTCTATCCCCTCTCCGTTTCTTGTGAGGGTTGGCTCTTGATTAGCCTTGTTCCCACCATACATATTTCTCTCTATATTATTCTGTCCATCACTGATTACCCAGGTTTTTTAATAGATTTCAATAAAGGCAACTACACTACTGTTGAGATTGGACTGGGTATTTACCCTCTGGGCGGTCTTTATATAAGACATCCCTTTTTGGGTTTTTTTCTACAATTTCCAGGGTTACCCCCTTTTACCAGTCCAGGTGACCTCTATACTCTGGAGGCTCGGCAGTGGGATACGGGAGTGTCTTTTCCTCCCCTCCCACTTTCCAGCCTTTTGAGTTTCCTTTTTCTAGATTCTCATGCTACCTCTTTTGTTAAATGGAAACAAGATATCGGGGAATCCTTTCCACTTTTGGAATGGACCAAAGCTACACTCCTAGTTAAGCGCTGTATACATAGCGTTTCTCTTTATGAAACACATTTAAAGATAATATATAGGTGGTATATGGTACCGACTAGACTATATAAAATATCTTCTGTACACTCTAAGAATTGTTGGAGATGTGGAAATGAGGAGGGCACTATTTACCATATATGGTGGGAGTGTCAGGGTCTTAATGATATAAAAGTTCAAATGCTTGGTCTTATTAATTCTATATTCAAGGAGATAAAAGAAATTAGCCCTCAACTTTTTCTCTTTAACATTGGTTTCCCTTCGCAAGATAAATATCAAAAATATCTTTTGACCCATATATTTTTTGCCATTAAAATATGCATAGCTAGGGCTTGGAAATCTTCTATCCCTTTAATATGGCACAATATCTTGGAACAAATAGATTATCAGTATAGGATGGAATCAAACCCCTTTTTTGGCATTAGAGATGTGCCCAAACTATGGTTAGCCTGGACAAATAGACAGAATTTATGATAACAGACTGTGGTTCCCCCCCATTTCGAGTCTCAGAGAATGTAACCTATTTGCATTATAATTTTCGTTTCTTTATTTATTAGTTTTTTTTTAAAATTTTATTTTATTTATTTATTTATTTATTTATTTTTTCGTATGTCTATTAATGTGACAGCGATATCATGGAAATTTCTGGTGTGAATTCCTTTTGATATCGATTGTCAGTGGATAAATGTAGGGATTGAAATAAACATCGGGCGTAAGATGGTTTTCAACGGAAATATAGTACTATATATGGATACTTTCGGTGTTTTAATTTACACAGTGCCTATATTACAATATATTGCCAGCTTATCCATGTTTTTAGCAGTCATATTGATGTTTTTTCTTTTTTTTTTCTTTCTTGTTTGTTTAATTATTGTTGTGTTTTTGACATTTGTCTCTGTGTCTGGTTGTCTTGTTGCGTTGGAGGAATGCCTTTGGGGTACCTCACATGCAAATGTTAAAACTTTTATATAACAAAAATAAAGAAATATAAAAAAGAATACACAAAACAAATTATAAAAATAAAGGGATACATGTATATCAGAAATACACAAACCTGTGGCAAAGAATAGAAATGATTCCAGAGTCCTAGCTTCTCTTTTAGATAATCCAATTCAAATTGTAAAATTACTGAATCCACAACAACCTCTTCGAGTTCCAGCTTCTTTTAAATAGTACCAGCCATTTACTAAACTGTTTCTGGCATTTTCTGAAAATTACCTGTAATTTTCGGATTTTGCCCATAGTAAAGATGCACAATCATTGACAAATGTTTAATTTAACAAAAGGTACAAGTGCTTTCCAATGCTTTATTCAATGGTACTAATTCAAGAGGAGTATTAGTTTCACCTTAAACAGTCAAGCTTTACTGACCACAATCAGTCTGGATAAGAATTATCAACACATTAACAAAGTCATATTTTTTCTCTTATTGAATTCAATGAATAAAAGTACTTGATAATCCAATAACAATCGTCAACAAATTAAAAACTGTAATTGTTAACACTGCAAAATCACCTTTTCTGTGTTGTTAACTTTAGGATCTCAGCACATCAATATTGCTGACAAAAGGTAGACCTGGTTTTAAGTTAAAAATTGTTTACAATGGTAATACATTTTGGATTGGATCAAGTTGAAAACAAACATGCAAAAGCAGCCAAGTTCAGAAACAAAAACAAAAACGCGATTGTGATTGAACCTTTTGTCTGTTAAGCACGAATAACAAGCTATATCATTTCTCATTTTCATTTTACATATGAAGTCTAATTCACTTTTATGTGCACAAAGAAAATCTTCTAACATTGGGTGCAGGAATGTGTACTGAATATCAGATAGTGAGATGACCTATGGACCTATTTTCAATTTGTGTAAAATATATACTATATATCATCCCTTTTATTCTGTGCTCACAATATATTCAACTGGAGAATATGAGAATGTTGAAACGGCTCAAGGAACAAGAAAGATTTGGTGATTCGCCCGTTTATGTCTCACAGTGATAAATGCATTATGCGCTATTAGTCTCTAACTAACTTTAATATGCTACACTGTGATCATGTACTGTGTTATTTTTACAGTTCCTTTTTTATATAAGATACATGCCACTTAAACAAATTATGCTGTGATTACACTGTTGTTCTTAGATAAAAGCTGTTACATATGACCATTGGATGGGATCACTGTATGGACGTTGAAATGATTTCTTTGTAGAACAGTTTTCTGTGCAGTTGTATAATCAATAATTGGTAGACCCACACCTCTGCAAGATCTGCTGGCATGCTACTTGGCTCATGATGTTTGCCTCGGGTTCTTTCATGTTTCACATTCACAGCTGTGTGCTACATGCACGGACATGTACACCTGCCTCTATGTTACTGCCTCTGCTTTCAATCAATTTTCTTTTGTAAACACAGATAGTTGCTGGAAAGCACTCTACACGTGGTGGTCATCAGCCTGCAAACTAAATGATGGGCCAGAAAACAACTCATTGACAATCCTTCATGACAAAACATAATGTCGTGTGTTCTTTCTCATTACGGCAATCTTTCACATCTGGGTCCATCAATAAAGTACTTTTTTAACCGGGACATTCCTGTGCTGCTGCTTACCTCATGAACTTAATATTCTTGGTGGAGATAGACACCACTTAAGCACCTTGAATTGAGCAAACCATGTAAGTTTTCAACTATTTTTTTTCGTTGGAGCTGTCTTTTAGCTCCAGAAAAGCACATGTGTACCTTTTTTCCCCCCAACACCAAAGACTTACTACCCTATCAGTCCCTGTATTCTCTGCTGGTTTTATCATTTCATAAACCTCAAGACGCGAAACCCACCCCCTGCTCTACCTCATAAAGACAGAATTTAAATGTTGGTCATATTACTGGTCCTTAAAGTAGATAGGCTTAATGCTTAGATAGAACAAGGAAAATATGAGGTCCAGTAAAACTAGCTGTTTCAGGATACCGGAAAACATAGTACTTAGAAAGCATAGTAACAAAAACTAGCAAGCCAGGTCAGAGATACTGGAATGCAGAATAATCAAAACATGCTGGGGTCAAAAAAATACTAGAAAAAAAACCCAGTAAAATGCGTTAAATCGCTTAGAATGCTCATAATCCTAAACAAGCTAGGGATTTAAATAGGATCACTGCCCTGCGTCATTAATTCACTTAAATCCAGCTTCAAGTGCATGTGCGTATGCAACAAGTGCAATATAAAAAAGAGCAAAGACTGGAGTAAAAAAACAACGTATAAAATGACACAGTTGGTAGTGTCTGGCGTCATTATGACTGGGAAGGCAGGGTCCTGGGAACACTTGTCATGGATCAATGCTGGTCACTATTAGGTAACCTTACACTTGGGAAGTGTGTCCTCCAAAT